TTGTGTGAATTATACTTGTGCTTTAGGTTAGAAGTCTTTCAACAGTGGCATATGAGTTGCTCTGTTTTGTGAACGTCAACGTTATATTCTCATGAAACAAAAGCAAATATCAAAAAGTTGAGCACTTTTCTAAAATTCCCAGCACTAACAAGTATTCAAAACGACAGTGTGTATCTGACTACGGTTAACATGCCATTTGAACAAGTGCCTATACTTTTCTCCGGAAGATGTCTAGTTTTCAGCCTCGTCTCGTCTTTTCGTTCTTCTGTTAATGTTTAGACCTTCAGATGACAGGCTTAATGAATTTCCAACAAGTGAATGCTGTTTGGAGCACATTTCCTCTCTGGTTTAATTTCAACAGTTGCCCTGCCAATGAAGTGTCATATTCACAGAAATTCTTTGAAACATTCACTATCCCAGTTAGCAGGGTCACGAGATTTTGTTGTTTGTGTTATTTCTGGCTAAAATACCCGTTTGCGAATACGTTTTGTCGTTAACGCATTATCTGCACCACAGACTAACCAATGGAGACATTGACACACTTTTTCCTTTGAGAAGCAAGGCAACTACCCCATCAATCTGCTCAGTTTATGGACTAACTTTGGAACTATGGGACTAACTTTGTTGCCGCAATTTTTAGAGTCCTTGTGGTGCAATCAACCCCGTGGTCCCAAAACTACGGCTAACGTACTTGTCACCGGGCCGCTCTACTGTAGCCCTTTGTTTCTGCCATCTGCACGCGCCTTTCGTTCCGGCGCGAACGCACACCTGACTCGGCTGTTTGCAGCCCTGATAAAGCATACGATCGATGTCATGACAGTGTTGCCTGTTGCGTTCAGATTTATCTGCTAGCTGATTGGCTGTAAGGTCTACCGGACGGCTTTGTACATTGATTGGATGAGAATCCACCAATCGTCTAACTACTCCGTTCAGGGTCACATGTGCGTTCTTGTAGGTACACGGCTGGTTGTCCTTGTGGCGCGCGAACGTGTATACGGGTACGGAGCGTTGGGGGTGTAGTGCAGCCTGTTTGGCTTGGTGCTTTAATGAATTTGAACCATCTGCATTTCGGGACAGGCACCGTCAGTCCTTTCGACATTAAGTTGTTTCTCTGTTAAATGAGACCAACTAATTCATGCCAATTTTTCGGATTCGTCCAAGTGAATAGCACCGTTAAAGTGTCTGCTGTTTGTGCTAATCTCTGACCCACTGAAGAATTCATCTCCCTACGTGTGTTATTTCGCCGATGCTTTCTTAAATGTAAATCAGGTTTTTCAGGTAACTTTTATTTACGTCATTTGTGATTCTTGTGACTCAAATGTCTCTCTTGCTCAGCTGATCTCCATGGATTAACAAATCAATATATCCATTGATACATATAAGTCTTAATCGATGCGATGATCCGAGATTTGTCTTTTATGCAAGCATATACTCATATCTCTTCTGCTTTTTTTCGTGTGTCCGCAAATTGAGAAGCAGCAACAACGGTTGCTGTCTATTCGATGATTAGGAGCAGCGCTTATCTTATTTCGTCTCTTCAAATGGTGAGGTGTTTAAGGAAATGGTGGTAATCGCACGATTCATTAAGTTTTGCGGTTCTAGTTGCTCTTGATGTAATGTTCTATCAAGTTATCCCCATATAACGATCCCTGTATACTAATAGGCGAAGCCGAGCCCGAGCTTACGACACGTTTTCACCCAAGTTCACCACGGAAAGCGGTGTTCGACAGGGTTGCCCTCTTTCTCCTTTTCTATTAACCTTTCTTATAGATCTGATTATGGAAACAGCCCTATCCTCGTGCGAGGATAGTGGCATAGATTTACTTCCAGGTGAAAGACTGTCTGATCTGGAGAATACAGACGACATTGTGCCGCTGCTCAGTGAAGATACAGGCAAGTTGCAAAGCTTTCCTGGATAGCTTGAATGCCAGTGTAGCCATGTTCGGTATGCGTTTTGCACCTTCAAAGTGTAAAGTGCTACTACAATACTGGGTCGGTCCAGCATCCAGCTTCACTCTAGCTGGGGAATTAATAGAGAAGGTGGATAAGTTTTGTTATTTGGGCAGCTACATCTCACCCGGTGGATGCATCACGGACGAAGTGTCAGCTCGCATACAGAAGTCTCGGTTGGCATTTGCTAACTTGAGACTTCTGTGGCGCCGTCGCGACATCCGGCTGTCTGTGAAGGGTCGAGTGTATGTCGCCACAGTTCGGCCAGTTCTGCTATACGGTGCAGAAACTTGGCCATTAAGAAAACAAGATAACGACAGACTGTCTGTGTTGGAACATAGTTGTCTACACAGCATTGCACGAATCTGGTGGGGTAGCCGGATGAGTAATGCTGAGGTTAGGTGCAGGGTTTTGGTCGCCTACCGGGATGAGCGATCGATGTCCATATTATTATTATTTCTTATTTCAACACGTAACCAATTACAGACAACTGGCAAAACGTGCCACAACATGTGAACAAAAAGAAATCTGAAGAATGTGTGCATAGGTTGTGTGGGCATTTTACTTCCCGGTGGACCTGGACGAGGAAGGAGGATAACCTCGGGTTCCCCACCCGAAGCCTTTGGCTAGAAAGCCAAACCTGCTAGACAACAGGACGGAGCTCAGGGTCCGCACTCCATTGGGGATCGGTGTGTAGTTCATTATATAATAAATCCTTTGGACGGGATAAAACGTCCAAGGTGCCCAATTGAGCCAGTGACCACGGCCGCGACCAGGAAGGTGTGCGTGTCGTTCTTACGCCTCTTCTTGGTTGGTTTGAAATCAGGGTTTTTAGCCAACTCCCCTAGGTGGACTGCCAATGGTTCACCAACTCGGTTATAGCCCCAGACATCGGCTTTTCGTCCTCTCGCTTTGTGGGAAAACACCGCCACGGGAAGGCAGTGAGAAGGGCTTCCTCAGCAGAGGCTATTTGGAANTTGCGCGAGGTGTAAAGGAATGATGGCCAGTCATAATTCCAAAACACCCACCCCGACCATACTAAGGCTTTCAGATTGCGTTGGTTGAAGGAAGCATGACGCATGTCAGGAACTAGGTTGTCACGGCTTGCGATTTTTACCGAAACAGGTAGTGAGTGGAATAAAACCAAAGGTGGTCAAATGAACACCTGGTATGAGGATATGAAAACCCTAACCAAGGGACTCGATCACATAGGTCCCGTTGGGCTCCCATGCTGGAGACCTTGGGATGATTGTAACCGGTGGTTAGAGATACTGAGTAATATATCTGAGTGTCGTAATTACTGGNTTCATGCCCCTCAATTCCACTGAAATTCTCCACTTTCTCTTCGACTCAAGTTTCTTGTCTTTCTCCTATGGCTTCATCCAGATAGGCAACCAAAACTGGTTTCTGAAGTCAATAAAAAGGCTCGGCCGATTTTTCGCTAGGTTACATCCAAATGAAATTTGTAGCTAAGATGGCAATGGCCATCGTTCACGCTTGAGTACGTGTTCCCCTTGAGGGATTATTATCATTTAACTCCGCGACGACTGCCTCGTTAGTTCTCAATGAAATGCATGACCCTCCGTAAA